GAACTCTCGCAATAAATAGACATAAAATCACGAGACCGGAAGCCGGAAACCGTTCGGAGAAATAAAGATCGGCACTATTTCTCCGAACGTTCGACCACGAGAGCCCCCAAGTATGAGAGTGAGTACGTTCTAAGAAGGTTATAGATTTTCGAGTTGTAGACACGACTCTGTGTCCACTCAGCAGCAGACTCCTCGGACATCATCAGTCATCAGTAGTGTGTAGATCTAGATTTAGATCTAGAATCTAGATTCTAGATCTAGATATATCTAGTTGAGAGTGTAGTGTAGTGTCATCACAGCGAGTTGAGAAAGCCGAGCCAACAATCATTAACAATGGCAATCACGAATCTGCAAATTTAACTCCGGTTGCTAAAGGGCGCTTACCCATCAGAGTGCCGACCCACAAAACTCACCATAATTTACGTGCAAACATCAGCTCCGGCCAAAATTTGAGTAGGCCTAAGTCTTGGTCTCAAAATAACACAAACAAATCACGTGAAAACAACACAAACTGGAACGCCCCTTCTGCCTTCTTCCTTCCGTTTCGTAAGTTTCGTTTCGTTTCGTCCCAGCACCTCTTCCTGTCTGCAGCTTTTTCTGTCTGAGCTCTCTTGTGCGGAGAAATAAGTTTGTTTATCTTTCGCTCGCTCCCTCACTTCTGCTGGACAGCTGAGTTGTTTATTTTTGTTTTGAATTCTTATCGAGGGGAGAGTTTGATATCCGACCTTTGTCAAAGTCCTGCCCGTATTCCCCAAAATGCCTCGGGGCTTGAGAAAAAAGACCAAGCAGTATGTTCTCGATCAATTTCAGGTGTGTATAGATCTCTAGATCTAGATCTAAATCTAGATCTAGAGTGATTGGACCCCATACAAACCAGTAGTGGGTGTACCCATGCTTAAACAATCTTAGAGAGACTCCTGAGCTCAGAGCATGCATCCTTGACCTTTGGTCCTTAAAATCAACCTCTGTGAGAAATGTTTCCTGTGTGCCAGGCTTCTTTCTTTTCATTCGCATTTTTTATGAATATTTAATTATGAAGTCTTCATGACACCAGGATGTGCCCGCATATGAACCACCTGCCCTTACACGAACCACCTGCAGTCCTCATATGAACCACACCTCATGTAATCTTGTTTTGAAAATGCTGTTTTTGTCATTTTATATGTATGTTTCTTTCAGTGACCAAAAGAACCGTTTTGGTACCTAATAAATAGCCAGCTTTTTAATTTGGACCTGATTTCGAGTGTGATAAGACAAAAATAAATGTCTCTCCTCATGACTGGCATCATACTTTGCAAGCAGGCCTCTATTGACAGTGTAAAGAAAGGCATTCTTCAAGATGTTATGATTGCCCACTGTCCTTATAAGTGTCCAGGCTATTTGTAACCTCAGCAAGGGACAAGTAAACTAATAAACCTACACAACAATATACAGACAAAAACAGTGGGGAAAATACGAAGGTGTGCTTTCACCAGACCACTAGATCTAGGCCTGAATTTATTTTTGTTGAAGAGAACAAAAAAGGCAATGTCAATGAGTGAGCAAATACATCATGTATGCTACTGAAAATATGGAGAAACAAAATGTTCCATCAATTGCAATAAGTAACCATTCATACATGATAAAGGAATGAATATTATAAACAAAATATGTAACACGAACAAGAAACTTGGCACAGTACTGCATTACTAAATTACAAAGAACCTTTACAGAAAAAACAAGAGTATGAAACACTTTGCAACTCCTCCTCTGTCTTTTCAAGCACACTGTCATCCTTCGCACACACAACATGAAACCATCTGCCACATTCACAATACACCCAAAGATCATTTCCATTACTGCCACACGCATTCAAACTTCCACATCCTGCACAAATATTGTCCATGTCATTGTCGTCGTCAGTGTCATGCAAACTGATGTGGTCGTCTGTCTCAGTTTCAGAGTCTACCTGAGTGTTGATTGGTCGTCTGCCTTTCTTTGCCATCTTCTCTTTTCTCTCATTTTGCTTTTTTACCTTTTCCTTTTCTTTTCTTTCTTGTTCTTCTCTTTTCTTTTTTTGTTGTTCTTTTTTCTTTTCCTCTCTTTCTCTTTTCTTTTTTTCTTTTTCTTCTAGATTTTTCAATCGCTTTTCTTCTCTGTCTTTCTTTTTCTTTTCTTTTTCTTCTTCTTCATCTCTCTTCTTTTTTTCTAAGTTCTCTTTAAAAATTTTAAACTCGTCAGAGGACACCATCTTAGGTGGGTCAATGACTGTCCGTTTATTCCTGCCCCAGCGAGCTGGAAGAGGAAGGCTGTCAAAAGTTGGTCTGTGGGCAGTCTTGTCTTTGTTAGTGTCAGTCAGTCCAGTCGCCAGTTGGGTCTGTATAAGGCCATATAACTTTGAAAAAAGCTGCTGCTCTGGCTCGTCTGTCGTCTTGTCAAGGTCATAGCAGGTCAGGTAGTGTACCAGGCCACTGCTTCCTGCTCGGGCTGTCAAAAGTAGCAGTCTGTCAAAGGCAGTCTGGACAGTTATGTTATGGTCATGGGAGGCTACGGATGGTCCAACGTCAGTGTCTGTTGTTGTTTCAGTCTGGTTAATTTCGGTTCGCTCCATCTCCATTGGCTCCTCAGTCACTGTCGTTTCGTTCTCATTTTCTATTGTCAGTTCGTCAGTCTGTAATGTCATCGTCGGTTCGCTCTCATGTTCTGCATCTGCCATCGTCAGTTCGTTTGTCTGTACCGGTAGTGTCATTGTCGGTTCATTCGTCAGTTCTGCCATTGTCGGTTCGTACGTCTGTTCTGTCACTGTTGGTCCATTTGTCTCGGCTGTCACTGTAGAGTCGACTGTCTGCACTGTCTGGAACAGCCTGTGAGGTGCCAGTTTAGTCCTGTCAAAGCGATCAGGGTTCCAGGGGCAGATGCCAGAAGCCCTGAACCCACTTACCAGAACATCCCCATCATGTCCCCGCCTTTCCCAAGCTCTCTTGAAAACTTTGGCGAAATGTTGTTTTGACAACGTGTCCGAGTTGTCCTCCTGGTACTTCATCACTTTCTCATACTACGCTCGTTTGAGGTTTTTAAAGCTGGTCAGATCCAGCGGTTGAATGATATGGCTTGAATGGCTGGGCAGTT